GGTCTTTATAAAAAGTGAGCATCGAGCCTGCATACATTTTTATTTTATTTTTTATTTTATTTTTTTTTCTTTATTTTCTATTCACCCAAGCTGATACAACTAGGAGAGTTAGTGGAGGCTAGTACGTCTGTAAACGTCACTATCGCCGGCAATATGCAGAGGAGGAGAGAAACACAAAAAGCCCAAAAGGTAAGAGCAACGAAAAAAAAAGAAACAAAAACAAAAAAACGAAGTCCCGTAAACACATCACAACGATACACATCTGCACATACATATATATGTATATGTATATATATATATATCCGGACAACATCGAGCATCAACATAAACACACACGCCGCATCGCAGCCAGAAACATGCCACAGACCTAATACGAAGATCGAACCAAAAAAAAACAATAATACTACGAATTCAGCAACAGCTACATCAAACCAGGTGCAGTGCTAGGCTCTACTGCACCTCTTTGAAGTAGGATCTGCAATTCCTCTGGCATGTCTGGCGTAATCTCCTTTACAAATTGTAGCACACGCGAAGCCATAGCCTTGTACACAAAGTCATCTTCACATCCAAGGCGTTTCATGTAACGATTTGCCCTCTCAATGTCCAAAAGACTCATCGAGCGCGTCATCGGGGCTAGATGCGAGGCGAGCACCCGCACCATGGACGGTGGACACTGCGCCGTAATGCTGAGCCCCATAAGAATTGGCTCCAGCAACCACCAGTCCTTAAACCCGTAGCGAAAACCTGTTTCAGCGGCCTGAATGTAGAACTCGGGATCGGCGTAGCCAAGGTTGGCCAAACCGCGCGTAGCACCCGCAAGAGGTTCAGGTCCCATCAAGTCAAGGCGAAGACGCGCCTGCTTACCAAACATTTGCACGATTGGATGTTCTCGCGCTGGTGGGTAAAGTCCGATAAGGTTAAGAATGTCACCAAGTTGGTTTGGTGAAAGGATGCGAGTACATTCCATAGCACGGTCCAAAAGAGCCTTCATGAGGGGCTCAGAAGGGTGTGGGACGGTGCTGCAGATGTCTATAATGGGTGCAATGTTTCGCGGATCCATTTTCGCCGCATACCGCATCGCGCACGACGCCATCGTGCCAAACATTGTGTCACTAAGCAGGTTTAGGCGCTGTAGCGCGATGAACGCCTGAACCAGCTCCCTCTCTGAAAGATCCGTTGCAACTTCTACGAGAGCATCCGCGTAAATTTCCACATGCTCAAGTTGCCTGTAATTCATTGTTGTAAAACATACAAGGTAGTTTGTGAGCGTTACCGCATCCATGTTCTCCACGTGCTCTAAACCACACTCCACCAAACGACGAAAGGTCATTAAGAATTTTGGTCCCAGCGCGTTTAGCGCGTGGAGAACGTTAACATAATCTTCTGGCTGAAATTCGCCCATGCGCTCCTCCACTATTTGAAACACGCGGCGAAGGATGTTGTGTGACACCCCTGGGCAGTACGCGAGGCTCATGGCGGTGAGTGAGATGTCAAGCGGACTCAAATCATCATTAAACTCAATGATGCGTTTTGCCAGCTTGCCGAGAAAATCTGTATTTTGGCACTTCAGTCGCGCCAACTCTGTGACTGTAAGCGAAAGCTGCGTTGGGCTAAACTCCTCAAGGATCGGAAACATCAGCTTTAGCACCGTGTTCATCTTGCGCTCATCGCGCTGCCTCGTGATATTCATGGAACGGAGCACCATAATGAGCGACTCTGGTGAGACGGCCTCTTCCTCCGGCACAGCCACCTCCTTTGGCGAGCTGATGATGCCCACCCTGCGGAAGGCGTCGGCGATGAGGTTGGCCTGAAAGGGTGAGAGGACCGTCTGATCGGAGCGGCGAAATGCGTCGTGGAGGCCCCGCATGAAGTCCGGATCCTGCGTCATGCCGATGGTGTCCATGTGGTACGCCGTGGTGCACACCTGGTAGATGTCCTGCGCCGTGAACTCCACAAGGTTCAGCTTGCAGCGCTGGAAGATGTGGTCCAGGGGCGCCGGCCGTGTGGCCACCGCGGTGGCAAGGGCGGCTGGAGCAGCGCAGGAGAGGGCACTGAGCATTTCCCAGAATCTTCCCTGCACAAACACGAGACTCTGAGCAGTGGTGGTGTTTCGAGGCAAAAACAAAAACAAGCAACATCGGGCAAACAAATAAGCGGCACACAACATCAACAACAACAAGCCTGAGGGTAGAATGCAAAGGCCAGACCCAAGCTGCAGGGTACCGAGGGCCTCGAATAAGCAAGGCGCCGAAATTGCAAAAATAAAACAATCAGACAAACAAACAAACAAACAAAAAACGGCAACATCCACAAGTGGTGCCGCAAAACACTTCACACGGATGACGGTAAGATTTCCAAAGAGGAGTTATGTGAAGTCGTCACTGACATTGGTGCAACCACGCCGAGTCCAACGACTTCCCGCCTCGCGCTGCAACTGTTTGGCGCGACGGAAAATCATTTGATGAACATTCTTGTCATTCACACCAAGTCGCGTCAAAAGTCTACGAGCCTCGGCAAGCTCCTCATCATTCATAGTGGGTGCCAGGTCCAAAATGCCTTTTGTGATCATGTCTTGACCCCGCACATCCAACACCACTGCGCGCGAGCAACACTTCATCAGGCTAGCCAAGTTGTCAAAGCTCCGGAATCCACCTTTATTTCCCTGTAGAACCGCCACCAGCGCATAAAAATCATCTGAGAACTGGTTTAACTGGGCTAGGCTCAGCACCACCTGCTCCAGTGCCTCTCGGTCAAAATATTCAGCACGGAGGGAAGCGGCGAAGGCGAGTGCCGAAACACACGCGTTATCCTTTGCCGGAGGGTAACTCGAGAGTAGGTCTAGAATAAACGTTAGCTGCGGCATCGTCAACTTGCCTCCGTCTGCCACCAGTCGATTCATCAAGTTGGCCATAACGCCGCCAGTGTCCATGGGAAGCACCGAGAGTATGTCCATAAGGGCGTCAACATGACGAATATCTATAGTGGAAACGACAGCCTCCGCCTTGCCTAGAAGTTCTGCCAAACCCGGAGTCCCGGCAGGGACACCAAGATCGACGGTAGACTGTAAAAGCGCAAGTAAATCACGTTCAGGAATGCTCTCCAAATGTTTAGAGGCATCTTCAATTATTTTCACTACCGCAGGGTGACGTGACAGGTTATAACGTGCTGCCACAATTAGTAGTGCTCGATGGTACACCACGCTGTCCTTCTCAGAGAAATGCGACACCGCCCGCGCTAGGAGCTTGGGAACCATACGCGCAGGAGCAGAAGCAATCTGTGGTTGCCTCTCCAGTGCCATGGCAACAAACTGAATCTGTTCTCGATGGAATCTTTCCATTTGAGCCTCAATTTGATTCACAAAAGCAACTAGGGAGTCGTGACTCTGTAGTTTGCTCAGGTTAAAATAAGTTCTGCAGAGCTCCGAGGAAGAGAGCTTTGACGCCACCTCACAGCTGCGGCGCGCAATAAGGTTTGTGAAGGCGTAGTCCTGGTAGTTAATTGTGGCAAGTGCCCGTACCAAGGATGCGACTTCAAACGGCTTCATCTGGCGTAGCTGAAGCTCAAGAGCCTTGCAGTGCCTGTGAATTTTTTGCATCCCATCAGTCCCCACAAAATTGGTGGATTGATACTCCTGAACCACCTCCCAAATGGCGGCAATCCGCTCCTCAACCGTCGGCTCCTCATCGGATCGGATCGCCGCGGCTCCCTTCCTCACGACCGCATCCTTCGACCTGCTATTGTCGTTGTTCTCTGCCGCAAGGGCACTTTCGGGAGTGTCTTTCGTCGTCGTCGTCGTCGTCAGTGCCAGCGTCGACTGCTGCCGGTGCTGCCTGCCGGCCGCCGCTGCCGCCGTCCCAGCCGAGTTTTCAGCCCTCGTTACGTCATCCGCCACGGGGTGGGCGGCGAAGACCCCGTCAATGAATGTTCGCTGAAACGGTGCCACGGCGTCTGGACCCATCTTTAGGTACTCCGCGTGCAGCCCAAAAAGAAAAGGCCGGTTCGTCTGCAACAACAGGGCGTCGTCCTTGGCCTTGAGGAGGGCGCAAATCTTATAAACGTCCTCAGGCCCCAGTTCTACTCGGCGTGTGCTAACCGCGTCAATCAACATCGAGAGAACACCCGACTGCAGCCAAACAGCTGAGCGGCGCATTCTTCCACCGGTTTTGTTTTTCTTTTTCCCCCTCCCCCTTCCCGCCTTTATTTGCCGAATTGAGAAAAAATTACTTCAGGCGATAGGGCAACCGAAATCCTCAACACGTTCCCCCAACCAAAAAGGAAAAAAAAAGAGAAGTCAAATAAAAACAAGGCAAAACAATAGCCTTCACTAGTCCTTCGGAAGACTTTCAAACACAAGAAATACGGCGGTAATGGACACACGGCCGGCAGGAAGAGTGGAAAGGCCGGCATCAGTTCCACGGCTGGAACAGCAGTCGACTCGTCACACTCACCGGTATTTCGGTAAGTGGGGGAACAGTCTCCTTCGCATCAGAGAGGCTCTCAAGGCTGTGGTAATCCTCCTTTGCATCCGCGTCCGCAACGGAGAATCCGTCGGTAAGGGGGTTCGTTCGGTACAACACCAGGAGAAAGGAGGTTGAGAAGTAGTACACCACTGACATGACAAGCATAGCCGGCAACGCCACGGCCCAGTATTTGTCGGGGTAGTAGGTCAATAGCGTCCAGTCAAGCAAATACCCTGGAAGAAACGCCCAAAGAAAATACATCACGAACACCATGAGGACGATAAGCCAGGCAATAAAGCCATTACTCGCGGCATGGTGTCCCTTGGTGATGCCTGCAGACGCATTTTCTACTGGCGCCACGGACTTGAGAGACATTGTGCTGCTCTCCTACTATCTGCCTCTCCTAGCACTCGCAGAGGCACGCTTCTTCCAGGAGAACTACTCAAGTCCTGTTAACTTTCACGCAGGGAGAAATTATTATTATTATTATTATTATTATTATTTTGAAGCCATTAAAACAAGCGTAGGTACGGGAAAAGAAGAATAAAAAGAGATTGAAAGCATCAACAAAAGTATCCAAAAAGAAAGAGATGAGATATAACAAATTTGGTAGTGACACCAACCGTCGCTTGGCTCCATGTGCCGCTTCTTAGTAGTCGAGAAAAGATCCCTCGCCATCCAAGAAATCGTCTGGGACGGAGGAAATATCTGTTTCGGCATGCTGCCCACTATCGTCTGTGCGACCACCAGGACTGCAAGGAAGCGCACGTGTTAGCCCCGGCCCCTCGCTGACAGTAGAAACCCCATCGGCCCCTGCCCAAGTATCGCCACTCCACAATGTATTGCCCCCCGCCATGGCCTCAAGCCTATTTGTTAAGCGTCGAATTAGCATCTGCTGCTTTTCAAGCGTCAGTAGAAGAGAATGACGATCAGACGTCTCTGCGAAGCTTAAGGGGCCCACGGCCGAGAGGTCTCGCAGGATATCCCGCAGTTGTGCCTCACTGAATCCGCGCGCTTCTGACGGACGCCGACTGTTCTGGCTCGCTTGCAACGTCGCACGTTGCAGTTCCACCGAGTTTAGAAGTGCCTGGGGGAGCACAACACTCTGCTCTGCCGTAACGTCGGGGGTAATGGGAGACACGCCCTGGCTTTCTGCCTCCTCTTGCCATGGTGGGGGCGAGTGGGGCCGCGACAAACACGCAGTCGTCAAGGCGGTCGCCATCTCTCCACTCGGGTGCGAATAGTCCAACTTCCCGAGCACATTGATAGGAAATGAACTCTCTGAAGTCGTGCAGGATGTCATTGTTCGCACACCATTCGGCATATCCGTCACGATGGCTGTCAGGGGAGACAGTGTGCTCAACTTTTTCTCATCTGAAACCAAAACAGGATCGTATCGATTACAGGCCCCAAGTAACAACTTCTCCATGAAAGACTGGGACGGAAGGCTCCCGTTACTGAGAGCCAAGGCATTTGCAGCAAAGGCGCTATCCGTCGGGGGGTAGGCAGAAAGGGGTAAAACCGTTGCATTCTTCTGGTTGGCTGTGGCGGAGGAATGCGAAGGATCCACCGCAATTGGCTCTTTAACAGTGAACTGATTGTATTTCATAACAACTCTGCCTGTATATTGCACAGACGAGCGAGCTAGCTCCGTCGCTGGGCGGTTTTCGGGCAGTGGCCTGTGCTCCACGACAAAACGTCGTGAGGAGGTTGCCGATAAAACATCGTCAATGCTACTGGAAGCGGACGATGCTGCAGTTGCCACTACGACTCCTGCTGCCTCGGAGAAGGCGGATGAACACGGCTTCCGTGGGCTGCCATTAGGCTTTGGGGGATCGGAGACCCCATTGACCGCCCCATGCAGCCGCAGGCTTGCCATCATCACGTCGTACTGACGTCGGCTGTGGGCAGAGGGATAGCTGCTACTGCTGCTGGGTGAGGGCCCACCATTCACCCCGCCCCTGTCCTCCATACTACTGGTGTCATCACCCTTTTCCGTAGGCCAATTATTCAACTTGATTTCATTGCCGCCCTGCTCACGCACAGAATCCAGAATATCATGAGATTGCATTTCTGTCAGCGGCACAGAACCAACCTCCCCGCCACGGTCCAGACGCAGTGAGGTGACAGACTGGCTGACGGGTGGCCCTCGCTCACTTTCCCCGTCATCCTGCGAGTCTTCTGCCTGCGTTGCAAGCACCGCAAAGAGTTCCTCAACGAACCGAAGCACATGCAACTGGAGCACAACGTCTCCATAATGCTCCACCTCATCTGCGTAGAGGCATGGCCATAGACCAAGTTCTTCCGACACACGCAACACAGAACCCCAGTTTTCAAGCCGACCTTCTTGAGATTGTGCGGTCGTCTTGCTATCCCCTGCGCTGGTGCAGAGATGCGTCAGTGGGAGGAGGGCTGGTTTGTAAAAATGTACGGCGAGCCCAAGGACAACACCGCTCTGCACAGAGTGGTAGAGAGAATCTTTAATTGCGTTCGCAGCAGCTCGGTACAACTCACCATCTATAACCTTTTTCTCGTGCATCACCTTAAGCAGGTGATACATCCAGAACACAAGCGTGTCTTCTAGACTTTCTAAGGTTCCACTGCACACGGGATCCAAGAATCGAACGTGTGCCACGATGTCATTCACTGAGATAACTGAGCAGCAGTAATGTAGGATGAGGGATCGTGTGAGTAGTACGTGTGCTTGGAGCGCAAATGAAGTACCAGAAGAGAGGATTTTGGCGATAGAAACGTGCAGTTCAAAGATACCTTGCTCTCCCTGTGCAGAAGTATCCGCGTCTTCTCCCAAGGAGTCTAGCAGCTCCTGTTCCGTCAAAAGTCCTTCGGCAACGAGCCAGCGGATGCACAAGAAATGCGCCTGGTACACGTTCCTTGCACCTTGCAATTGGGAGAGACTAGAAACATCACTGCCGTCCGTACAAGCATTCACCACACTGGAGCCGGATGGCGCTGCCGCACGCAGCAGGAAGGAGTGCATGGTGGGCGGGCAATGGCCCAGTACACCCTCAGCGACAAGCAGGTAGACGATCCCCTCCTGCGCCAATGCTAGGGCGTCACTGGGCACCTCTGCCAGAGACTTCACCGGGGCATAAGACCGTGAAACATCCGATTCCGCCTGTCTGGCACGTTCAAGAATGTGTTTGTAGTGCGCCTCCAGTACAGGATCGAGACGCTGAACGGCGTACGACAACACCCAGCGCAGGTTGCACACAAATTCGATAACAGAAAGAGTAGCAGTCATGCCAATGTGGGACACGCTCTATTGTAGCTGACTACGCCGGTTTCCTTCTTCGTTCCAAAAAATCGCGCTCGCTCTGCGGCTAATGGCGACACCCCGTGCAAGGCACGCATATCAGCCGCTCCCATAATTGGGCAGAGTGAGAAACCACACACGCGCAAAAAAAAAATAAATAATAGTAAATAAAATAAGACGACAGAAGAAATGAGGAAATATTTTGCCTTCGATTTCATGTATGCAAAATGAAAAAAAACAACAGAATACGCAAACAAACAAAAAACAGGAAGCCGGGGATGTGGAATGAATTCAAAGATCCCCGCCCGTTATTTTGCAACTGCCCCTTGGCAAACAGGCTGAGGGTGCCTTCTATGGCCATCGCCGCTCCCGTTCAAATGTCAAGTCCAGCCTTTACTGCGGCGGAAGTGGTAACCGGTAGGCTGTGGAACCACGGGAACGGAGCAGCACGGTTCCCGCAGAGGAGCGTTCGTCACGGTCACTCGAACCTCGCTGTTTCTGCGGCAGGGAGTCGACGTTTGTCGACCACTTCCTCTCGCTCTGGGTCCTAGGCGCGGCGTCGTCAAGCAAGTTATCATATAAGGGGCTTCTGAGAGCCATAAATGAAGAAGCTGGAGGAGTTGCTGGGTGCATAGCTGTTGAACGCTCTTGTTGCTGATCTGCCCCATGCGTCTCATTCACCCCACGAGTTACAAAGCTCTGCATCGCACGGTACGCATGCACGGGACCCCTTGACACCTTAGGCGTCTGTGGAGTCGTATCCGCCGTCCCCAAGGGACTCTGCGCAGGCTTTGCTAATGGCGTTGTTGTTGTTGCAGGGCTCGAGCCACTTTCACCCTCTCCCGATTGCGGAGAGCTCTTCCCTGCCTCATCTTCAATGGCTAGTTTTGCCCTTGCGAGGCGTTCGCGAGCAGCTTCTTCAAGGCGACGCACTTCATGCTCCGTCAGGGATTCCGCCAGCTTCCAGTGTCGTGTTTCCTTCTCCCTGAGGTCAGCAAGGAAGGCAACCTGAACGCGCGCAGACGCAATTTCCTCCTTCAGCGCCTCTAAGCGGTCCGCCTGTTGGAGATGCTTTTGCACCGTCTGAATTCGAGCCATATTTTTCATGTCACACGCCCGCTGCTTCTCCTTTTCGCAGGCCAGGTCGTTTTGCAGGCGTTCGCTCGCCATGGTGAGTTGAGCGGCAACTTCAGCGCGTCGCTTCTCAACAAAGACATCCTCCAGTACCTCAGCCTCGGTCATCTGCTGGCGAATACCCTGAAGTTGACGGCAAAGCTCCTCTTCCTGTCCCTCATGCTGGAGCGACTGCTGAAGTTCCGCCAGCTTTCTGGTGGTCGTCTCGTTGTTGCTTTTCCATGCAACGGGGTATGCATAGTTGACGAAGGAATGAATTTCACCGTACGGCTTGGCCAACTCTCCCCTGGGATACCGGTCGTACAAGCCGTAGGTTTCCGCAATCACCTTGTTGATATCAATGGGTTGTGCCGCGCTAAAGACGGCTAAGAGTTCTTGGTGCTCGTGCAAGTTCATTAGCCTCGCACGAAGACTTATAAGCCAACGCACGTGGAAGAGGAAAAACCAAATTGGCCTGTTAAAGAAGACGTGGTCCATCACCTGCAACCATGCCGCCGAGGTAAGAATGTCTGTGTCAAACGATTTCAGCAGCTCCCAACCCCACTCCTCGGCCGTGACTCCGGATTGTTCAAGGTGGCTGTGGAGCTCTGCGTCCTCGGTGCGAAGCAGCTGATTCAGTAATGAGGTGAGAGCAACGGGGTGTTGCGGGTAATATTGAAAGAACTCCTGGCCCCAGTTGGACAAAACCACAAGGACAACCTCCACTGTTGATTGGATGTCGTCCCCATATACTTGCAAAAAGGGGTAAACAATCATGGGCAAAAAATGAATCACAGCAAAAAAAGGCACATGCCACGCCAAAATTGACAGGACACTCTCCATCGCACTTCGCATCTTCTTATTGGCCAGAGGAAAGGGCTTCATGAGAGAGGGGACCAATCTATGCGTCCCTTTGCTGAGAAGCTGGGCGTACTGTGGGGCCGTAAAGCGTCGCTCGGGGAGTTGCAGAAGAAACCGCCAAGTAAGAGGTCGGTATTTCTCTGGAAACACCCCATAGCCCATAAGCAGACGTTTCAAATTCGTCATGTTGGCTGTCCGAGACGCCGTATCCAGGAATGGCCGCTGCGAGAGTTCCTTTTCCTTCGTCATCCCATCCGCCTCCAACTCGGCACGCGCCTTTCGTCCCTTGCAAGACGCTGCAACCTGGTTGGACGCGGCGACACAAGTGCGGTTTCCAACTTCCTTGGCGGCGGCGGCGGCCGAAGCGGCAGCAGCAGCAGCAGAGGGCCGCAGGAGATCCACCTTTGTCCACTTCGACACCTGCTGCTCGTTCAGCTGAATGGCGGGACGCGGAAGGGTGGTGTCCCTGAGACCTTCCGCCTCCCGTCCTGTGGGGGGCGCCGCACGAGCGTTCTCTCCCTGCCGCAGAAAGGGGTAAAGCTGCTGCGGCAGCGTCGGATTTGGGTCCGTGCCGTTCCACCTCGTTCGTCGCAGGTAGTACTGACGCACCACAGGGAGGTGAAAGAGAGCCAATTGATCGCCACGCAAAAACACACCAAATGACGGCCCGGACACGCTGAACGATGCGGGGCTCCTCCGCGCCACACCACCGCATGAGGCGGCCATTGCAAAAGCCACGCTGTAATTGCTGACTAAGAGAAAAACAACGGTGCCATCCGTTAGCTCACAGGCGAGAAGATCGTCGTTTATAATTGAGAGGGAGCGCGTTGCCGCCGGCGCCGTAGAAAGCTGAACACAACAAATAGCCGACAAATCCGAGGTGTTCAAGAAACCGACAGTTGCATTCGAAGAGCCAAGAGCGACATACTTTTGGCACGCTGCTGCTGTGCGTGGGCGCATCTCAACTGTTACGGTCTTTATTGGCATCAAAGTAACGGTGTCCCATGCCTTGACAACCCCAGAATTCTCTACCGTCAAGAGAAGGTTTAGTCCCGCGTGTACGCTCAAAAAGTCATGTACCGTGTTTGCTGTCGTGATGTGGCTATGCACTCGACACGCCATTTGTGTGGCGTCCCATAGCGCCAGTGCGTCTCGTGAAATGGTGGCCAGCCAAGGAGAGCCCAGGCCAACGGGTGCATGCATCATATGAATAGCGTGCAGGTGTGGCGTCTTCGCTCGTTGAAGAATGCGGCTCGTACTGCAATCCAACCAAATGAGGCTCAGATCCTCCGTCGCACACAGAAAAAGTCGATTCACCCCGTTGCCACAGCACGCCATTGAGGAGATTGGGTACTCACAGGCCGCGAAGAGTTTCACCACGTTCTTGCGAAGAGAAAACACGTAAACGAGCGACTCGCTGCTGCTCGCGTAAAACGTCGCTTCGTCAGTGGGGTCAAAGACGACATGAGTGAACCGCGTTACGCCCTTGTCAACTAGCGTGACCTCCAAAATCTGCCCTGTCGATCGCGTCACCTTCCCCGTCGCCGGCGGCCACAGCGCCGTCGTCGTCGTATTTGCATCCAGCGCCACGGACATGCGTGCTGCCCCTAAATCTATAAATGCAACAATGCGAAGGAGGCCCACAGCTGCTTCTTTGGGCGGCTGCGGGGAGGCCCCGGGGCACAACGTGTTCCTCACAACCGCCCACAGGAAGGGAAACAAACAGAGGGAGAGAAAAAATATATAAAAAAAGAGAAAAAGGGATCAAAGTGTCGCTGAGAGAGAGAGGCATTCGTTTACAAAAAAAAACACGGCATACCCACTCCCTGCCCCCCGTCCTCACCTTCTTTTTTTTTTTTACTGCGATCAAAACAACAATACACTTGTTGCTTCGGCCTTTGCATCCATGTTGGGGCTGTGTTTGAAAAAACGCCGCATAATTCGCGGTTGATGTTATGGAAACAGCAGAAAGCAGGATAGCTTTGCCTCACGAAACAACCACAGGAGTAACGCACACGCCATAACTTTTAACGATGCACATCAACGGGACATTCACTCGTGTTGATGAGGGATATGTACATGGTATGCGCCTGCACCGCAAAAGAGCGGAAAGTTGTGCTTCTCCCACACGGCCTCACACCGCCATTGTCTACTTTCGCGCTAATGAACCTTCGCATTTCTTCACATCTTGGGTATTTCTTTTACGCCACGGAAACTCCCTGTCCGCCACCCTGTGCGCGGTGTGTCTTTCCGTTGACGCTTTGCGGAGGAAAAGAGGGGGAGGAGGGAAGTTACTCAGCGTGTGAAAGAGCCCCTCGTACTGCGGGGTAGAACAGCCGGTGCCGCGCCATTCCCATCCGCGGGAACAAAGGATACTACTGCCTTTCGCTGCGGCTCTTCTCTCGCGTGGCCGTGCACGATGCGCTTGTAAATGTTGATGCAGCGGTTCTCGTAGCAGTATGGGCACCATCGGTTTGTGCCGGCGCAGTACTTGCAGGGCTTGAGACAAACGGGGCACTTTTGCAGGTGCGGGTAGGCGTTGCAGGTGGTGCGCTGGTACACGCAGCCAGCGGCGTGTTCGATGGGCACCACCTTCTTCTTTCCCTTCGGCGGTGGGCGGTAAGTGTCTACGCCGCAGCCGCACAACTCCTTTGGCGGCTCCTTCTTCTTCTTGGGTGGCCCCTCAGCTGCTTTTTTGGGCGGCATCGCGTCACACGCCGCTGGAGCTACCGCCGAGAAAGCAGCACTCACCCCACGGTCAGCGCAGAGAAGTGGAAAGGGAGGACGGCGACAGCCAGAGTGCGGAAACAACACTCAAGCAAAGCAAGAGGACTCAGGAAGGGGAAAGAAAGCAGCCAAACCCGGCATTGCACGAAACTTTATTATTTTATCAAACGTCAATTTGCCTCGCTTATTTCGTTGTTTCACGCGCCACTTTATAAAACACACACACGCACAACAGAGAGTGAGGCACGTCAGGAGTTCAAGTCCCCAAAGAAGCCATGCACGCGCCGCCTTCGCTTCTCAAAAGCGAAATTTACCTTCTTCCGCTTCTCCGCCTTAAGCCACTTGGCGGCGGCGACACGCTCCCGCTTTTTCTGACGCTCCGTCTTGGGCTCCTTCGCCTCCTCCCCGCCACTGTCGCGTTCCTCATCGCCATCCTCGCTGCCTTCATCCTCCTCGCGTCGTCGCTTAGTTTCCCTCGCGCTCTTCACATGCTGGCCACACTCAGAGTCGTCGCCATCGTCGTCGGTGTCCGTTTCGCTTGCCTCCAACGCTTCCTCCTTTTCCCGCTCCCTTTCCACCTCTCTGAGCACCGCCAAGTGCCCCTTCTCCGCCTGCGAGCGCAACTGATCCAACTCACGCTCATTTGACAGAAAACGCACATCAACAAAGTCAATAATATTATCCGTGCCGCAGACCGCGAGCATTGCTGAGTCGTGGCTCAACCGCATTCGGGTGATTCCCTCATTGCCGCGCTGGCGACGCACTGCCGTGTTGGCGTAGCTGCCGCTGCTCTTCCCACCAATGGAGTTGCTGTGTGAGTAGGTGAAGTCCCTGGCGCTGAGCTGGCACAGGTTGCGGCGCACAGGGTACATCTGAATCACACGAACCAGACCGTCACATGCCCCGGTGAGGATGATGTTGTGGTTAAACGTGCTATCAGGGTTGTTGAAGGAGACGATGCTCTCACACTCCGCTGGATGCCGCTCGAGGATGTCATATGGTCGCCTCCAAGAACCGAATTTCCACACGGGAAGACCACCGTTCGGGGTTCCACACACAATGCTTGGGATGAAGGAGCTTGTGTTGTTCCCTGTGTTGTTTACAAACGCAAAGCAGCTCAACTCATCTTTACGCTTCTCACTGTAGTCACGGATTTTGCCCCCACGCAGATCAAACACCCCGAGACACGTATCACCGCTGCTCGAGACAAGCTCCTGGATATCAGAGAAGTAAATCATCTGCGAGACGTAGTCGCCATGCTCGTGGTAGCAAAAGGCCGGTTTCTGCTGACGCATGTCCCATATGGCAATCAAGCCATCATCATCGCCTGTGGCCAACAAATTCACATCACACACATTTAGTGCAGAGATGCCAAACTTGTGGGGGTTCTTACTCTTCCTCTGAGTAGCCTTCTCGGACACTTTTGCCGATGGGGCATTTTTACTGATGTTGTTTCTGTTGCCAGGCAGGGTCGTCCTCTTCTTCTTTGCAGTCCCGTCGTCTATGTGAATTACAATTTGCTCCGCCACGCAGTCCAGCACACTGATTGTGCGATCACTGCTTGCCGTCACGAGATAATTCCCATCTTCGGTAAACTCCATGGCAGAGATAGAGCCATCGGGGTGCATACGTAGATTGTACGGGTTTGTTTCCTGTAAGCGGTTACCTTTAAAGTACTGCTGCGTGATGGGCCGCCGTCTGGTCTCCGTCGTGCGGTACTCGTGCACCTCCACCTCACCCGTCACAAGCCCCGCAGCAAACAGTGGCAGCAGCGGATGCATCGCAAGATCAATCACAGGGGCGCTGGTGAGCAACGAGGGCGGCACGGTGGCAGCGGAGGCGTCACCGAAGAGCACGTCATCGTCACCTCCCGCGGCGGTGCTGTCAAGGTTCATTTGTGGCACTTTTCCCCCTTCGTTAATTTGTACGCGCGATCAAAAGCGAGAGCGCGTCCGGCCAAACCTACCAGCGAGGCAGCTCCCCTCTCGGGTTGCCACGGCTACTGCTGCCGTCGGCGGAGGAGCGCAGGGGAGCGAGAGCCGGGGAGAGAAGAAGCCAACGAGAGTTGAGTCAACGCCGTCGTCGCAGGCGACAACGACGACAACAAGAGCACGTCAGCAACAACAACAAGTAAAAAAAAAAACTAAAGGGAAGTTTACTTTTTGTGGCAGGTCAAAGTGAGGGGGCAAAGGCCCACACCAAACGCGGCTGTTTCCTACCTCTCTCCCTCCACTTCCGTTTTCGTGTCGTCTTCCCCCCCCCCTCCTCCTCTCTCCCCGCCAGCAGCCCCGTCCGCACCCCGGGCAGACGCCGAGAGCCCGGTATTGGCAAACGCGGCAGCAACCAGGCGTCCGCCAGGCCGCAGCGCACCCCATCGCTGGCAGCCACTGCGCAGAGCACACAGCGAGAAGTAACAACCGGGCCACGGGGCACCAAATAAAAAAAAGTAAATAAAAAAAAGACCTTACGAGGCGAATAAAACAGAATCACTCCCAGGTTAATACATCAAAGGATTTCATATACGCACAATATTGTGAAGCGCTTGCCACGCACTTCCCGTCAGGACAGCCAAGAAGGCAAAAGATGTAGAAGAAAACCGTAGGAGGAAGCCAAAGAAAAAAGTCAGAAAAGAAGCAAAAAAAAAAAAAGTTAGAAAAATGACGCAATCAGTTAAGTCCAGGCGCGAACAAAAAAAAAAGTTCAGCATGGGCTTAGAGCCATTAAGAAGGGCCGTAGGAACAATACAAGTCATCACCACCAAACCCCATCAAGCCAAAGCAGCAGATAAAAAAAAAGGGAGAAAAAAAACATGGCGGTATCCTAGTCCTTGGGTCTATTAAGCTCCCTATTCCTCCCCGATGCGCGCTCATTTTTTTTTTTTGTTCTCAAACAGTTGGGATGCGTGGACGCCTCTTTGTACTCTATGGATGAGCCCTCCATAAGTGAAACATGAACTGCCTCACGCTACTCGGCATCCAAAAACTCGACAATTCGCTCCGCCACTCGTTTCTTGTTCTTCTTTTCCGCAAAAAACCAGTGGCCGCCTGGGACTGCAACAACCTGTGAGCCATCACGTTTCCCTTTCTCCTCAATATGCTCAATCCATTCCTGTGAATGCAGCATGATTCTTTTTTCGGTACCGTAGAGAAACAAAACAGGAACGCTGATGGGGATGAAGAAACGTTGCGAGCTCGGTAGCAAGCGCGAAACCCAAAGCATCCAGTAGCGGAGATAAATCCACCCACTCGAAGGATCCACATCAACGCTAGCTGGAACCGCCTCGTCATCGTGTGACGGAGTGCTGTTTAGGTGAATCCCGCCCGAAGACATTGCAGAAGGACGTCTTCGTCTGCTGGGCAATTCAGAACTCTTATGGGGCTTGGCAGCCCGGTACCGATAACACGTGTAGCAAATACCACTGGCACTGGGGTTTGGTGGTTGAGTGTACAAATTGCAGCTATTTGCGTAGTAAAATTGGCTTGGATTGAATGCTGCCGCCAGGCAGCTCACATCTTGTGTTTTTTCGGAGTCACCAGCGCCACCGTTGAAATGCATGAGCACATTGAAAATGTCCAGAAACCTCACCGATTTTCGAGAAGAATCCGTTGTGTCCCTATGTATACAAAAAGGAACCATAAGTAGTTCTTCCTCCCCATCTGTCTCACTACTCCAGGTTGGAAGATGACGCGTGTACTCGTACTGCGGTCTATGCCTGAGCTGCTGAAACCAACGCAGAATTGGCTTCCCCAGGCATGTGGGGAGTATGAGAAACGACGCAATAATGAACAGGTGATACATGAAAATAAGTGTCGCCTTGCACCACTGCCACCATATACCACCCGCAACAACACTGCTGCATGCACCGTCTTTCCGTGTAACCGGATCTGCAACAGCCCCACCACCGTCCAGCATCACGACGCGTGAGAAAAAGTATGGTCGTAAAAGCAGGAATTCACGAGCGATGACGTATCCCCAATCATGCGCCACGAGTATGGGTCTTTCGAACGGGTGATGCTCCATCACGGCAAAAAGGGCAATCTCAAACAAATCGACAAGCTCTTCGAATGAATACCCCATGCGTGGAAGACGAAGACAGTCCGTTTTTGAATAACTCTTGCCGTTTCTCGCCTCCCCCCCAACTTTCCGACATCTCTTCACTATCTGCAGCTGAGGCGACTGACGGTCAAAGCCGGGAAGCGTGATCCCAACGAGGCGATAGCGTGACGCCAAGGCATCCATGATATTGTCGCGAAACACTTCCGACGTATCCGGCCATCCTGCAAGAAACACAACGGTGGGGCCCTCCAAGTTACCGGAAACACGAATGTTCATGCTGCCACTTCACCTCCCACCTCGTGGTCGTCCCCACCCCGCTGTATCCAGGAACGTGCGACGAGGATGCGTACGTCCACGCCTCTAGCTCGTCTCTGGAAGCTTCTGGCGTGCCCAATTGCTCCTTTAAAAAATTCTCTCTCTCTCTCTGTGTGTGTGCCTCCTCACGCTTCCCCCGGTCGACGTGTTAGAGACCGCGCAGGCGCAGCACTGCAACAACAATAACAAAACGATGCACCAGCACCAACTACAACAGGCAAACAACTAAAGCCAAAAAAAAAGTAGTCAACTGCGAAAAATAAATAACCAGAGAGAAGAGTGGGGAGATGCGAGTCGTACGTGCCGCTCCTTTTCTCGCCCACTCAATCTGCCTCTTCCTTTTAAAAAAAATTCTTCTGCTTCTCTTCCTTCTGGATCTTACACAGAGCGTTTGGACTATCGATTTTCCTTGCCCCCTGAAAGAAGACACAACAACCAAACAGTCTCTGTCACGCCACGAAGACGTGGAGGTGCCGTGTATTTGTGTGTATATATTTCTGTGTATGTATGTATGTGTGCTACTTTATTACCGTCCAATTTTCGGATCCCTCCCTCTCCACTTGGCTGGGGACGCCACGGCAGCAGCAACAGGAGGAAGACGAGAAGGCAGATATTACTCATCCCACACGCCTCCCTTTAAGGCGGCGAGAGCGGCGCCAGGCACAGCGACAGGGAAGGCGAGAAGCTCCAGCAGAAGAGAATGGGGGGGGGGGGGGGAGAACAACAACAACCAAACACACGCAGACACAGATGAAAAAAAGAGAAGTACAAAAAACAACAAGACAATTATCATTCATGAAAAACAAAACAAAAAACAAAAACGGAAACCCATACATCATGAAGAAAGTAGGAAATGGAAACAACAGCAGAAAAAAAACGCACACACAAACGGCGACACCTACGACAACGCATTCACAAATAAGAAAAAGAAAAAAAACAGCGAAGGGGAAAAGAGGGAAATAAAAAAAATATGGCACGCACATACACCGCCTTTCTTTAGATGCAAGTAAACACAGGGGAAGGAGAAAAAAGGACATACACGCCAAACACCTTTTATAATGCTCTTCTTTTTTTTTTGCTTTTTCTCCTCTTCTGCCCCCGTTTGTTTGCTTAACTGCCGAAGGAAGGATAACTTGCTTCCCCCAAGAGGTCCTATACACGCAGAGACATTTCCTGCCCGATCCGTTTTTCTTTTCTTTGCTTCCCACCAAATTATGTCGTAACAAGAATAAGTACAACAACGAAAAGGAAAAGAAAAATAAAGGATGGGAAAAAAAATGAAAGAGATAAAATGCAGCTTATATATGTATATATCATGGGGGACTTGATTCCGCACTTGTAAACTGCCTCTCACTCTTACATCATTTCTCCCACGTGCACCGGCACCACCGCATTTTCCTCCATTGAATCCATCGGCTTTTTGCCTCATCTTTTTTTTTTGATCCCTCAAGGCCCAACGACAGCACCAACTCACGCAGCCAGAACAACAAGGGGCATACGCACACCAAACACCGCACAGAATTAGCACAGAAGAAGTGCTCAACGCCAACGGGGGATGAGAGCCGCCAAAGAGGAAGTGCAGATGCACAGGGGAAAGGACGATGAATTGCCGCGAGGGCCATCGCCTCAGTTCGCTCTCCCCCCTCTCTCGCACAAGCAACCATCCCCCGATGGTGCAACCGCCAAAGCAAGCATGTCCTCATTCATGCCTGCCTCATCAAGGAAAGAAAAAGTAAGTAAAATGAAAAGTGAAAAACCAAAACAGAACAAAGAGAAACAAGCACACTGAAACAATATATATATATATATATATATATATA